ATTGGGCTTATGAATCTGGTTCTTGGTAGTGTACGGTGGTGGAGTTCGTGTCGGTGGTCGGAGCAGCTGATCTTATCCTTCCAGTCGGCAATTACGAGGTGAGTTATCCTCACTATATCGACAGGGTCTACGGCACCAAGGCCGGCCCTTGATCGGATGGGAATCCGGGTATTGTTGTTATGTTATTGTTTTGTTAGAATTGCATCCTGGTATTTAGGATGGTATTATGTTAGTGACCTGGTTAAGGTCGGTACCCGGGACATAGGGTAATGTTATGCTAGTGACCGGTTAGGTCGGAATCCTGATTAGGATGTTGATATGCTATGTGATATGTTAGACTGTTTGTCTGGTTGAGGATTGTTATGCGATTAAATGTTTTATGTGCACATGATTGTTTGACGGGGGTTGGGTTGAGGTGGGTCCTGCTTTGTGCTGTAGGCCAACATACCCAGGGAGGACCGGATGTTCCGAAGGCCCAGCGAGCGGTCCGGATAGGCTGAAGGCCCCGAGAGGGCAGACCAGACGTGCCGAGGCTCGGAGAATGGACCAGGCCGACTGAAGGCCCGGTGTGGGCGGACCATTCATACTGTAGACTCAGAGAGTGGACCAGGTGGATTGAAGGCCCGGTGCGGGCGGACCAATCACATTGTAGACTCGATGTACATGGCTAGACTCGGAGGGTGGACCAGGTGGACTGAAGGCCCGGTGCGGGCGGACCAGTCACACAAGTAGACCCGATGTGCGTGGTTGTTCTATTTATGATATGTTATGAGTATGTTATGTGTGGTTGGTATTTTGGGGGTAACTCACTAAGCTTTCGGGCTTACAGTTTCAGTGTATTGTTTCAGGTACTTCAGGAGATCGTGGCAAGGAGAAGGCGTGATCGTACCGCTCCTCATGTTTTATGATTTATATGATATGGTTCTGGGGGATACTCTGATGTTTAAACTATTTTGAAAACAAGTTGTAAGAACGTAATGGTTTTTGAATGATTTACAACGTTTTAATTTGGCTCAAAATTTTATGGGTGTTACATATTGTGTTAGGTTGAGGTTGTACTGCTTTGTGTTGTAAACAAAAAACCCAGGAGCATTCCAGTTATGAGCCGAGGGTCGGGTGGGGCATGTCAGGCTCATACTGAGGGCTCAGGTGCATTCCAGATACGAGCTGAGGACCGGGTGGTATGCCCGAATCGTACTGAGGGCTTGAGAGTATTCCAGTCTGATGACTGATTGGGTTAAAGAGCAAGCCATACATAAGTTGTGGTCCCCGGGGCAAGCCATACTTATGTTGTGGGCTCGAGAGCAAGCCAAATATGAGTTGTGGTCCTGATAGGCAAGCCAGACTCATACTGTAGGCTCAGGGGTAATCCAGTCTTTTAGCTATGGACCTAGTACATGCTGTTATTTGAATATGTTATTTGTTTGTGTGTTGGTACTTTGGGGGAACTCACTAAGTGTCATGCTTACAGTTTGGTTTATGGTTTCAGGTACCACAGTGGACAGTGGCAGGGCGAAGGCATAACCATACACATCATTGGTTTTACAACTGATTGGATCTTGGGAGACTCTGATTTTAAATAGTGTTTTGGAAATAATAGTTTGTAAACGCTTTATTAATAAATGGATCACTTTTGAAAGGTTTAAATTTGTTGAAATTTTGGGTTGTTACACATACTCTCACGAATCCTGTGCTGATGTTGACTCGCCAATCACCAAAATTGATCTTGTGATGCAAATCTCACATCAATTACCACCGTCTTATCATATCATCGTTGATGTTATTACCAACACCAAACCCTTCCCGTTGTTTTTAGAAGCTTAAAATATGCTCCTCTTACATGAAGTTCGTGAAGAAAAATTTGATTCAAGCACGAATGCTCCAAAGTCCAACACGAGTCTTTATTCCATTTCGAAAAATCCCGATAAATCGAAAAATAAATGGAATAATAATCGTAATAATAGTATGGGTGCTTCCATGGGGGTAATTCTAGCATAAATACTAGTACTAACAACAACTTTGTAGGAAATTTGTCTACCATAATTAACAATTTTGTAGAAAACAATCTGGCGTCCCAAACATAATCTACTCTAATAAATGAAGGTTTTTTTGTCACATATCACACTCTCATTCAATTTGCCAAATGTCATTTTATGGTTATGTTGAATTAATTTCTTTTCCACATGTCATTTTATGGGTTTTTCTATTTTAATAAATTCCACATAATACTTTAATGTAATAATTACAATAAATGTAGTAATAAATGAATATCAATTTCATTAATGAACTTAACTTCTTATTTCAAAATTCACAAATTAAAGATCATTAGTTTATTTTGTTTATTTATTTAAATTTAAAAGAAAAAATTAATTTTAATAATTTATTATTTTTCTTATTTTCTTATAAATCCAAAGTTCTTAAATATTTAGACATTTATATATTTTTTTTTGATTAACCCATGTAATACATGGGTCTTACACCTAGTTTTAGGAATATTATGGGCTAACTCTGTTGCTTTTAATAACTATGGAGGTGCACATAAAAATTCCCATGCATTTTCCGCTTACAGTGCGTTCAGTCAATATGGGAGTCACCAAAATGCTACCCCTTATCAAGTTTACGACCTACAACAACAAATGGGGCTCTTGCCTTCTTCTGGCCCAAATACGCTCGCCCATTTTCCGCCAACCACCTTCACTGCTGGACCAGTTGCGCCAAATGCAATATTGTTGAATACAGCTCACCATTCAACCCATAAGCTCTTGTCGGCCAATCTACAGCCCATCTCAATCGCTCTACTTCATTCATATTAGCTCCTAACAACCCGAAAATTACTTCTTTGGTCAAAATATGCAAAACAAGCGCCATAATTTATTGATTTAAGCTCCGTTTTCCAAGCGATGTCATTTCAACTGCCTCAAGACGATCACTTTTACATGGGCACCGGAGCCAGCTCGCATATGTATTTTAATCAAAGTAACATGCTTTCTTTAACTCCTTGTAACTCTACGTCTATTATGGTTGGTAACGTTACTATGCTTTCGGTTAATTACATTGGTCACACTTTCCTCCCATTTTCACCAGATAAAATTATTTTCAATAGGCAGCACATGATATTCGTATTTTACAACTCGAAGCTACAATACATCCTAATAATAAGGGTGTCACAAAGGATGATGGTACCTCATATGGGTTGGAGGTACATTCTTATTTATGGTTTACTCGTTATTGCATCGTTGATAATTTAATTGTATGAAACCGTTAAATGATTATAGGGTGACAAGGTTACCCCCGTACAACCATTTAACATAGAGGATCGTGGTACTTTAAAAGATGATGACTTTTAGACTCTTTGACTATGAGGTTCGTAAACAGTTGCATATGTGTTTTTTACACGCTCTTGTATTTTTAAAAACATAATTAAATATAATAATTTCTTTTTGTAGTTTGAAGGAGCTGAACATAAGGCTAATATATAGATAAACAGTGTACCTACACCTCTATCTGTAGACAAGTTGGAGATAAAAGAGATTCCTTGGACAGATTACAAAATGTCACCGCTAGCTCTTAGGTGTACCCAACGAGAAATACATACATCTATATGGTTGAGGTCCCCATGGATATAGATGAAAAAGAAAGACATTTCACGCCGACACCCACCACCATTGGACAATTGTATAGATAGTAGCATTCACACTCTATATGAAAACAGGGATGCTTCAATACTGTTTGTTCACCGATTTCTCACGTATATAACGACGATGGAGTTTTGGATGCGTATTTATGGGGACATTGACTCGGGCAGGCTGGAATGTGATGTAAGTTACTTAAGCATGTGATCATTACATACTAACCAATCACTTGGGTTACTTACTTTATTGTACATATGTTGATTGACAACACATCATGATCTAGATTTCGTTGATGATGAGGTGAAGATCGGATGATGGTCGGTGGACATTTGTAATGACAACTTTCAATATAAATTTAGAGGAGTGGCGTAACATGGCTGATAGATTCATTTTCCCAACTTGGTCTAAATGTGATACGATATACTTGTATTTCATTTACATTACCTGAGCAATAGTCACTTATGAGAAAATTTTATTTGATGATTAGTTTATTCCAACCTTTTTTTTGCAACTTTACATCCTTATCAATATATCGCAACCGCAGGTCCACTGGTTTTTGGGAGTTTTAGATTTTCAGACTTTCACATTGATTATATATGATAGTTACTAGGAGGGCTACTATTTTTCAGTAGATGCATCTTGGTTTAAATCTGTGCGAGCTTGTATCCGCAAACTCCTAGTGAGTATCAACTATTAAAGTATCAAACCTACTGATCTGATCCCCATTGAGAGTTTCAAAATCACCATAGTAAAATGCACAAACGTACCACACCATTCTAGCGACAAAGATGATTATAGAGATGTTGCTCGCTGATAAATCTGTGAGGATAGAAGGTTCAACCGTCACCTGGACATGTCATATCGGAATCTAATAATTATTTCCCTTAAGAAAACTATTCGTCAAAAAAGCTATTTATCGTCGTCATTTTGTACAAACACACCTCTAGTTATTATTTAAAATATATTTAAGTTTATATAATTATTATATTTTGATTGTTTAAAAAAAACAAAAAAAAAATTACTCAAGGGTACCACTCCAACCTCCGGAATTTGGGCTCTGAAACATATTATTATTGACTAAGTGACCATTTTATAAAAAAATAAAAATAATTAAGAAAAAACATTTATATTAGTTAGAATATTCAATTCCTTTTAACAAAACACATAAATCATGAAGCAATTTAGCTGTTTCCTTTTTCCAAAAAAAAAAAAAAAAAAAAAAAAAACATTTATATATATGTTTTTCCAAAAAATATAAATCAATAAGCAATTTAGCTCGAAAGCATTTTCCCTAAACCTTCTGGCTTCTACCTTTAGCCTCGAAGAATCTGATCACATCTTCCAAAGTCCAAACGAACACAACCCAAAATGGCGGATCGTTTCTATCCAAATGAAATGCCGGAATTCATCAAAGAAGAAGAACTACCGCCACCTGAAACCACCACAAGTCCCCTGACAAAAGACTCTATCTCTTCCTTACAACCTATTCTCTGATCAACTCAAACGAGCAGCCTTCGACCTCAAAGACACTGTATTTTCTACTTCTTTATTCCCTTAATTTCTTTTTTCTCCCTTTCTTCCTTGTGTTGATTTTTGATTTACACATGTTCCCAATTATAGGTTGTGTTGAAAACTTGGGGAAACACCGGGAAACGTTTAAACGATTACACACTGTACACAGGTGCCTTAGGCACAGCTTTCATGGTTTTCAAAGCTTACAAAGTTACCCACACCAAAAAAGATCTTGATTTATGTAAAGACATTCTTAAAGCTTGCGATTCCGCCTCTGTTGGCTCTAGGTTTACATTATTCTCTGTTTCCATATCTGTTTTTGAGCAAGACGATTGTTATTAATAGCTTATTGCGATCGCAGCCGTGTGACATTCATCTGTGGTCAGGCCGGTGTATCTGCTCTTGGGGTCGTCGTGGCCAAACAAAGCAACGATAATCACTTGTTTAATCACTATTTGACAAGATTTAAAGAGGTAGTAGTTATTCATTTGATGATGTAATTAAACATGACGTGTGCTCTTATTTTGTTTATGGGGCCAATTGGATTTTGATTACAGATTAAGCTTCCTAAAGATCTTCCAAATGAACTATTATATGGTAGAGCAGGTTACTTACGGGCATGTTTGTTCATAAACAAGAATCTTGGTGAAAACATTATATCCTCTACCCACATGGTAAAGCTTTGTGATTATCATCTTTAAATTATTTTTGCAAAAAGATTTGATTTTTATTATGTTTGCAGAGAGAAATCAAAGATGAAATTATCAAGGCTGGTAGAAATATGTCTACTAGTGAATGTCCATTAATGTATGAGTGGTATGGGAAAAGGTATTGGGGAGCTGCCCATGGGTTAGCAGGGATAATGAATGTCTTAATGGACATGGAATTGACTGAAGATGAATTGAAAGATGTTAAGAGTACACTTATTTACATGATTAACAACCGTTTTTCTAATGGAAACTATCGATCAAGTGAAGGTAGTAATTCAGACCACTTAATTCATTGGTGCCATGGTGCTCCTGGGATGGCTCTTACACTCACCAAAGCAGCCACAGTATGTATTCAACCATTGATATTTGATAAAGATAAACTTAAAAAAAAATCTTCTAAAACACTCAAGTTTGTTAAAATGTTAATAGGTTTTTGGAAGTGATGAGTTTTTAAAGGCAGCAATTGATGCGGGAGAGGTGGTATGGAAACGTGGTTTGCTTAAAAAAGTTGGAATCTGTCATGGAATCAGTGGCAATGCGTATGTTTTTCTTTCACTTTATCGCTTAACAGGCGACATCAAGTTCTTATACAGAGCCAAAGCTTTTGCCACCTTCCTCTATCATAAAAGTCAAACCCTTATAACTCAAGGGTCAATGCATGGAGGTGATCGACCCTTTTCACTATTCGAAGGCATCGGAGGTACAGCTTATCTTTTTCTAGACATGGTAGATCCATCCATGGCTAGGTTCCCTGCCTATGAGATCTAGATGTCTTTTTCTCCATTAAGTCATGTATGTGTAAATGTAAAGTAGCCGAATGACTGAATAAAGTGATGTATACATTACAAGTTGGGTGGTGTCTTAATATATGACAGGTTTTATTTGCTTGATGTATTAAAGTAATCTTGTCCATTTTAAGTTAAAAAGAAACAATAGGTTAACTAGTGTTGAATCCATAAAAGGTTATTAATGATAAGAAAAACAGCCTCTAAATGGCTAGTGATTTTATTACCGGATATCATTCAAACCATTTCCTATGCTCGCTCACATTTTAACCAAAACTAAGCTAACCCAACAAGTTTCTCACTAATCTCCCATACTTTACGTGCCTTGGTGACATCACTAGCTTCTTCTGACAACTGGTTCTCAAATGAAGCTGAGTTATTATTCCAACTCCAGTAAACACCCGATTTTGTCAAACTTGGATCACTCACAACCTAAATCATGAACCAAATAATAATAGATTGGTTAAAAATTAATCAAATCATTCGTTATAAGTCGGAATAGATTGGAAATTTGGAATATTCACCTGAGCAAGTCTTTTTCCGGATTCATCCTCTGAAACATACCCTTTGGTGATGTACTTTTGGAAGGGAGGGAATAGGAGTCTGAACAACGGAATATGCTCCCGAAACAAACCACATGTTTATGCCTCCGGTTAAGTTCCAGATTAACCAGGAATCAATGGTTCCAAACAATGCGTCGCCTTTTTCTGCAGCTTCTTTCACCTTCTTCACATTCTCCAGAAGCCATAACAGTTTCATCGCGCTGAAATACGTGCTTATTGGCAACCCACATGTTTCCAGAAAATGGGTTCTTCCTCCTGATAAATGTTTCTCTAATTAGCTGATAAAAAATCGAATCCGGTTTTAAAAACGTTAAATTCATGACATGCAAAAAGGGATGATTTTTGACTATTGTTATTCAAGGATGCGAATTGGAAAAAAAGATTTGGGAAGAGATGACGAGGAGGAACCTGCAAATGGAGCTGGTGCGTATATCCATCCATACAATTGCATTGTAAAGAGGAATTCCGGTGGATTTGATCCAAACAACGGTGGTTTCTCTCTGATTCGTGATTCCGATTGCTTTGAGGCCATTGCCAATGTTGTATCCATTAGCGGTGGCTTTGTCTATGGTCTTTGATACGTATATTCTCACACTTTCAAGAATCTCCATAGGTTCGTGCTCCACCCATAGACCTGACAAAATCTGGCACGACACGACAACCCGCCATGAACCCGACACGAAGTTAATGGGTTAGGGTCAGAGATTTCGACATGTTTATGTACACGGCTTGACACGACACGACACGAAAAACAAAGGGTAGGGTTAGGGTCAAGATTTTCAACTCGAATATGACCCGTTTAATTATATATATTATTATTTCAAAATTTATATTTTATATTATATATATTATATGGTTAAAATTATAATAAATACAATTTTGGGCTTAGTATTTGGGCTGCTAAAAACCAATTCACAGCTCACAAACAACTCCATTAGTGTTTAGGATTGGAAACCTAATCTAATTTTTATTCCCGTGCCCGTATCCATCCGCCTCCTAAGTTCCATCCCTCCTTCTGTCCTAAACGAATCGGAATCAGGAGTCGGACTTCACGATTCAGTACCGTTTCACGATTCAGTACCGACTTCACGACTTCACGACTCGGACTCGTCACCCCTCTCCTTCACCGGCGCATCGATTTGATCGGAATCGTCTCAGCCTTGTCGCCCCATCTCAGCGGCTCAGGTATTTATCTCGATTTGTTCGGAGTCCATTTTTAAGATTAAGAATACACACTGTACGTCGTTCGGAGTTCATTTGTTCGTAGTTCATTTAAGCAAATACTCGATTACGATTAAGATTTTTAAGCTTTGATCGGAGTCCATTTGATTTTTTTTTCGTGGAATACACACGGTACGTTCATGGAAACGAGTGTTTGATTTTTAAGCTTTGTTCATTTGATCGGAAACGAGTATTTGATTTGATCGGGAAACGAGCTCGGAGTTCATTTGATCGGAAACGATTATTTGGTTTTTAAGCTTTGTTCATTTGATCGGAGTTCATGGAATAAGCTCTGCTCTTATTCTTTATTAAGCTTTGTTTGGATTCTGTGAGTATTTGGTCTACTTTACTTGTTTAACAGATATATATATATTTTAACTTGAAAACTAATAGAATGTTGGTCGACAAAGAAGATTGTTTAGTACTATGGCTAGACTAAAATTTTCATCCCAGGCAAATTCATAATTGAAATCCATTCACTTAATACATACTTTCTACACCTTTCCAAAAACTATACTCTTTTTGTTTTACAGTTTTCTTTCTACAAATCAGTTATATGTAATTTTTCTGATGACTGATTTGTGTTGCTTCAGCATTTTGGTCAGTGTGATGTTAAAAGGTGTACATGGCGCAAACTTGCTAGATTTGGCCTGTTGAGTGTAAGTGTGTATATATACTTTTTACACTGTTAGATTTCCTATATTGCTTTCATTAAGGTATCTGAATATTTACTTGAAAACATATAAATGTAGACTGCATTATTATCATCTGATGTTAAACCTTTTTCTTGTTACTTTGTGTTGGTTTTGTAACAAACAGATTCATAAGAAAGTCCAAAAATGCTACAAAACGTACCTCACCAGATGATACAATCTCCCGCTAGGCTAGGCCTCCCAAACCCTAATTCACCATCTTTACAAACCCCTGCCCCTCCAAAATTCACCTCACAAATCCCACAATCACACCCACCTAACCTCCACCCAAATCTACAAACAACCCCCACCTCCCTAACCCTCCTCCCCCTCCTTCCACCTCTACAAAGAGCCCAATCAATCCTCTTAAGAATGTCATCCCTCACAACAAAACTCTTCGATGTCTCCACAAACCAAACCCAATGGCTTACCACATTCCGTGGTTCATTTCCCACATTCCTTTCCACCCAAACCCAAGCCCCAACTGATTCCATTCCCACCACCACAAATGAAATCATCTCCCTCTTTACAACCCTCCAATCCCAAATCTTCGAATCCGTAACTGAACTCCAAGAAATCCTCGACCTCCAAGACGCCAAACAAAAAATTACCCGCGAAATCCGATCCAAAGATTCCGCAATTCTCGTGTTTGCTAACAAACTTAAAGAATCCGAACGTGTTCTCGACATGTTAGTCGATGATTACTCCGATTATCGCCGTTTAAAAAGATCCAAAGTTGAAGAAAGTGAAGAGGATTCAAATACAACAACAGTTGCCACACATATAAACTTAAACGACATTTTATCCTACGCACATAGAATAAGTTACACGACGTTTGCTCCGCCTGAGTTTGGGGCTGGGACAGCCCCCCTGCGGGGGGCTTTGCCCCCCGCACCTCAGGAGGAGCAGATGCGTGCTTCTCAGTTGTACTTATTTGCTGACATGGACGTGGGATTACCGAAATCCGATAAGGAGAAATTTACGATTGAGCCCTTGGCTGAAAATTTGTTGGAGGGTAATTTGGTTGGGAATATGGCGATTAAGGATATGCTTCCCACGAATATTGTGGTGCCGTCTGGGTGGAAGCCGGGGGATGCCGGTGCAGTTGCCGACGGATCTACCGATTCTTCCGCCGGCTGGATGGAAGCCGGGGGACCCGGTGGCTTTGCCACCGTTGGATTCAGATGCTGTTGCTCCTAGGATGGAGGAGCAACAGCAACCGGTTCATGTTCCTGGGTTTGGGAAGGGACCACAACCGATACAGGTTCGACATGTGCAGCTTGATATTGATGATGATAGTGATACTGAGTATAGTAGCGATGATAGTTCTGATGATGAAGATTGATATCCACCTTGTAGTTTGTTTCAGTCAATGTCAAGTTTAGGTTTTTCTTCTTAAAAATGCTCATTGTATGTAATAATGTATCAAGAATGTGTGTTTTGTTGGTTGGTTGGATGGAATGGAATGGATCTTTGAGTGTACATATTTAATGTTTATAGGATCTTTTGAGTGTACATGATTAACAACCGTTTTTCTAATGGAAACTATCAATCAAGTGAAGGTAGTAATTCAGACCACTTAATTCATTGGTGCCATGGTGCTCCTGGGATGGCTCTTACACTCACCAAAGCAGCCACAGTATGTATTCAACCATTGATATTTGATAAAGATAAACTTAAAAAAAAATCTTCTAAAACACTCAAGTTTGTTAAAATGTTAATAGGTTTTTGGAAGTGATGAGTTTTTAAAGGCAGCAATTGATGCGGGAGAGGTGGTATGGAAACGTGGTTTGCTTAAAAAAGTTGGAATCTGTCATGGAATCAGTGGCAATGCGTATGTTTTTCTTTCACTTTATCGCTTAACAGGCGACATCAAGTTCTTATACAGAGCCAAAGCTTTTGCCACCTTCCTCTATCATAAAAGTCAAACCCTTATAACTCAAGGGTCAATGCATGGAGGTGATCGACCCTTTTCACTATTCGAAGGCATCGGAGGTACAGCTTATCTTTTTCTAGACATGGTAGATCCATCCATGGCTAGGTTCCCTGCCTATGAGATCTAGATGTCTTTTTCTCCATTAAGTCATGTATGTGTAAATGTAAAGTAGCCGAATGACTGAATAAAGTGATGTATACATTACAAGTTGGGTGGTGTCTTAATATATGACAGGTTTTATTTGCTTGATGTATTAAAGTAATCTTGTCCATTTTAAGTTAAAAAGAAACAATAGGTTAACTAGTGTTGAATCCATAAAAGGTTATTAATGATAAGAAAAACAGCCTCTAAATGGCTAGTGATTTTATTACCGGATATCATTCAAACCATTTCCTATGCTCGCTCACATTTTAACCAAAACTAAGCTAACCCAACAAGTTTCTCACTAATCTCCCATACTTTACGTGCCTTGGTGACATCACTAGCTTCTTCTGACAACTGGTTCTCAAATGAAGCTGAGTTATTATTCCAACTCCAGTAAACACCCGATTTTGTCAAACTTGGATCACTCACAACCTAAATCATGAACCAAATAATAATAGATTGGTTAAAAATTAATCAAATCATTCGTTATAAGTCGGAATAGATTGGAAATTTGGAATATTCACCTGAGCAAGTCTTTTTCCGGATTCATCCTCTGAAACATACCCTTTGGTGATGTACTTTTGGAAGGGAGGGAATAGGAGTCTGAACAACGGAATATGCTCCCGAAACAAACCTGTTGTAGCAATACAACCAGGATACAAAGAAGCGAATGTGATTCCAGTTTCTTCATGGAATCGGCGATGGAATTCCTGCATCATCAGCATGTTACAGACCTTACTGTCTTTATACGCCTTTGCTCCATCAAAATCAGCACCATCGATCATGGCAGAACTATTAAGCCCGTTTAGACCACCTGCTAAACCCCTCATGTCTCCTAAGTTAGCCTTTGGGGGAACATTTCCAGCTAAAGTGTTGGTGTTACCCGTGATTGACCCAACAATTATGAGTCTTTTTGAAGGGTAATCTGATTGTTTCATTTCGTCGAGCAGTAGGCGTGCAAGAAGGAAGTGACCAAGGTGATTTGTCCCAACACTTAGCTCGAAACCATCGGCTGTGTAAGTGGGTTCTTTTGCAGTTGGTAAGTAAACAGCTGCGTTACAGACTAACACATCCAGAGGTTGACCTGATTGTTTGAAGTTTGCTACAAATTGTCTGACACTGTCGAGTGATGCTAGGTCTAGATGCATGACTCTGTAGTTTTCTTTTGGCATTCCAGATGATTTGGCAGCTCTTTCTGCTTTTAGAAAGTCTCTGCAAGCCATTATCACGTGCCATTTTCCAGTTTCTGCTAGAGATTTTGCTGTGGCTAGACCTAGACCTGAGGAAGCTCCGGTGATGACGACTGTACCTTTTCTTAGGGTTTTCTTGCCCTCGGTTGATGCCTGGTTGACTGATGGAGTTGTGGTGGCTACAGCTTTTGTTTTGAGTGCCCCCCTTTGGGTGAATTCCTTCTGTAGCAACAATTCCAATTCTTGAGTAAGTCTAGATTTTGGATTTGAGTGGAAATTAAAAAAGAAAAAAATGTTTTCGTACCCTGTTCTTTGATGATGTGAAGTCGACTTTAAGATGAGTTGACAGTGGTACTCCAAATAGGGTGGAGTCTTTCAAAGAAGCCTGCAAATGCACTGCATTGTGAGTAACAAGTAACAGCAGCATTTATTAAAGACTGTAAACGGTTGGGAAGGCAAGCAAACCTCTTTGTGGACGGCGAAAGAAGATGTAGTAGCCTGGAGTGCCATTGGAGATATCTGTAAATATCTAATTAAGATTGTTGAAGATAGATCATATTGGTGTGGGGGTATTTATATATATACACACACAGAGACACTTGTGATTTGTTTGGCAAAAAATGGATTGTTTTGTTTATTAATTATTAATTATTATTTATTATTTATTATGAGGTGGTGGATAAGAAAATTGATCAAGAAAGTTGGTGGGTTCCACTTTAGAATAAAGTAACCAATGAGAGAGTAGATTGTAGATTTCTAGCAGATAAGTGAGGTGGGCCTGAAGGTGCTCTGCCCGAAGCACATTTCTACTTCCAAACAGTTATGGGCTTTGGAATGGGTAGCAGAATAGGATTTTAATGTATGAGTGGCTGGGGGGCATATTCGCAATTTGCGGTCCGACCGGGCCTTTAACGTTTGTCCTTGACCTTGGTTCTATTCCAGTTTTTGGGTCTTTTGTAACTACTTATAAAGTAGAGGTAAACAAAATCGTGAGGTCTTGGATCGGTTCGGGTTTTTTTCGTTCAATATTTCATGTTTGTATTTTTCTGTTCGGTTTTGTGTTTTTCGGTTTTATTTTCAGCCCGGTTTTGTATGTTTTTCGGTTTAGTCAATTTTGGACAGTTTTATCTAATATTCTAATAACATTAATATATAAAATTTCTATGTTTCATGTATAACTTCATTATTAATTAATATAAAAAAAAACTTAAAAGTTGTTGAATAATATTATATAACTTGTAAAACTAAAACATATCATTGAAACAATATATCTTGGGAAAATTCCTAAAGTTGTAGGTGTCTTGCTAGCTCGCTATATAGATAATATTAGTTAATGGTGTCATGTTGGTGATGTATTTGGTACGTAGCTTAGATTTCGTTCTTGTGTGTTGGTAATGAAGTCGTTGTCAGTTCCTTCAACATCATTATTAGTATATGTCTATATGATGACACTTTCTCTTACCTTCTTTCCATTTCGAACTTCCAAAATATCGTTTTCAATATGGGTTGAATCTTCCTTAATATCCGAGTAATTTTGCTGCAGCGATTCATTGTCAACATACACATTGCACTTAATATCTTATCACTAAGAGAAAAACAACATTCCAAAGCTACGATACTAGCTTTGACCAACAGTACATTCCCATCCATTGAGGCTATGACTTTATATTAACCTAAACTTTTTTTCACTACCATTTTAGAATATCAAATTGTGCAAATTCTTCGGTAGTTATCTTACAATTGTGGTTGCTTTGTAAATTGAAAATTCCTTTAAAGATGATTGAACTCTCGAACGTTTTGATCAAACATAATCATTAAACCATGAGGTGCCCATTATCATTAAACCGAGTGATCTCGAACAACTAGTTTGATGAGATTGGCTTGGGATTGCTTTGGACCAACCTGAGATTGAGACCGACTTAGGACTAACCTTAGATCGTCGGTTGCTGAAAAATGGGGACCAACTCTGGAATTATGGTCTAGACTAGTCTAGTCTATTCTAGAGTCATCACATCAAGTATTGTGTGTCACACCCCCGAACCAGACGGCGGAAACGTCCGGGGCTCGTGTGACTAACAATTGAATTATCATTACAATGAATACTCATGAAACGTAACACATTCATTACCATCATTACATATAACAACCAGCATTGTTCACATCAAGTACATTGTTATAAATACATAGGTTCAAACTATTAAAAGCACGATGAGTGATGTTACATAAAATGAAACCATACATACTTGAAATCTTCCAGCTTAACGATTACCTGAGAATACAAGTTATTTTGAAAAACGGTCAACATATATAATGTTGGTGAGTTCATAAGTATGTTTGAGTAAAAGTCTTTGTATCTTTCGTAAAAACCCAGAAAATCCGATATTTTCTGTAAAATGTTTGAAAATGATGTGAAAATCAAGTATAAATGCATGTGTGAATTTCACAGTAGTGACATATATAAAAGTAGTTTAGATTTCTTTGTATTGTAAGTAAGCGATAATCGAACATTTGTATTTCCCCAGAAAATCCGATATTTTCTGACTTGTTATAATGTCGAGGTTCTTGTATCGTTTAATAAGTTGTTTTGTATTGACACAATCGAAGGGTTAATCTTCGAAATGTTAAATTTGGTATTGAATCTCTATATGAGCCGTTATAATCATACATGATAATGACTAGGTTGTCTGTCTTAGCATTTTTCCAAATGCTGGTATTTGCTCAAGGTTTTGTCGCCCTAGACTGGCCTAGTCTAGCTGTAGCGAGCAGCTAAGGCGTAGGGGGTCACCCCGTATAGATCTATACACAAACTCTAGCTCTCCCTCCAGGATACTTTGATTATAACTACAAGCTACGATTGTACACTCAAAGGTGCCAACCGACACGTCTCATGTCACAACTAGCATTTTTGCTAAGGAATTCTACTCTCATGTAATCATTCACCTAGTATAATAACTTGTACTCTAAGTGAATACTACACTCTATGCTCGTTCAAATGCATCTCATATGTTCAAATAAGGGTTGGAAACTCTAGAAATCCCGACTCAAGTTCATTATGGACTAGGATTCTCTTATTGGGCCTAAGGGACCAATAAATCATCAATTCATCAATCTATAACATTTTGGGCCATTTGGGCCTAGAATGATTCATTCTACCTCTAACGGACCTTATTGGGCCATAACTAATCCAATTAACCCTAATAAGCCATAAATCCACTCTTTTATGCCATTTTGGGCCGTGAATTACCCTAAAGGCCCAATGGGCCGAAAAGTCATTATTGGGCCTCATAAATTCGAACCAAGGCTAGAAATGGGCCAAGCTAATCTACCTCCCTTCTCTTAATCCCAAATTTTCGGCCCATTACCCATTATCCACTATGCTTATTACAAAAAAAGGGAAAATAAGGAAATTTGTGCATCTGATACATCATTGTTGCATGGTGGATTTCCATGCAAGATCACCTCACAAAACTCTCTCTCTCTTCTCTTATTAACCTCGGCCAAACCCCCACCATACCACCTCAAATTTTCAAATCAAACACTTCCAAACACTCTCAAGAAACTTCCTCATCTTACTCTAAATTTTTCGAGCTTTGTGGGTGCTTTCAAGAGGATTCTTCATCAATATCACCATCTTTGGTAAGTTTTTGCTTAGATCTATGATTTAACTTATTGAATTCATCAAAAACCTCTTCTTAACCCACATCATTTCATGATCCATACTCTAGAACTTCATAGAACTCGAGATCTACTCAAGGAAGGCTTGTTAGAGCCGAAATCTCTCTCTTTTCTTCACCAAACCGAGAACAAACAAGCAAGGTGAGTTCATACCCCCTATTTTCGGTTTTTACTTGGTTTTGGGGGAGAATAGAAGTTGCTTTATGTAGATCTATGTGTATATGCATTAATATGTGTGTTTTTCATGACTTATTTGTTGATTATGTGCTATTTACTTCATAAATCTAAAAATATGTTAAGAATATTAAGTTTATCACTTGGATCTACATGAGAACCTTGAGAAAAGTATGTGTTTTCACATATATTACATTTAAACTTGTAGATCTGGGATTTATACACTTAAAATAACAAAAATGAGTGTTGTGCTCAAAGATCTATAAACTAGACTATCAGCCCTTGACAGAAAAGTTTTGGTCCAATCTCGAACTGTTTTGATCACATAAATGATAATATTTTTCAAAACTATTTTACATGAAAAACGTTCAGGTTTATACCTTTAAAATGACTACTCTCACGTTTTCATACGATTTTTCTATAATTTTTGGCGAGTTTTACAAAACTACCTATCAGATTTTAAATAATTTCGGACCAGCCTGTGAAGGTGAGCAATTTCACACTTGTTAGAAGCCATTAAAAATTATGAGAAAAATTCTTAACAAAGTAGACAAAATTTCCAAACTTCCAGAATTTACGGATCCAAATTTCGACTTACGATGATTTTTCTACAAATTTTCCAACAACTAGGTCAGAAAATCCCAAAACCAGAAAAATGTGTGTTTTCACAAAAATCAAGCCAAAAATGATATTTTTGACAAAAATGGGTTTAAAATGTTATTTTTACCACAAACTAGTCATAAACACAAGTTTTGAACAAAATGGGGACTAAAGTGTTATTCTTACAAAAATTGGGCCTTAATTGTAAATTTTTGGCTTATTGGGCCAAGAACGTCATTTTTACAAAAAGTGGGCTTTTATGCTATTTTAGTGAATAATTGAACCAAAACCAACAATAAACAAACAAACGGATTAATTTTGATCATTTCTAGGTTATTGGGCCTTAGTGGCCCATTATTATGTTTGATAGGTTTTGTAAACTATTTGCGTGCTATTTGGGCCTATAAATACCTCCTTACATGTGAAATGGGCCTTCGTTGTCCTTTTACATATATTTTGGGCCCATGTTATAAATCTCATTCATATTAGGTTTTGAAATGACTCACATGTTTAGTGATGCCCTAGTGGCTCACTTACATGGTTCGTTGGGCCTGGAATGAGTTTTGTACGTTTATCTTCGCGTAAATTCGATTAAGGATCTAGTGCGTTTTTGTCGGTTGACACCTATTAAGTGCTCGATCGTAGCCTGTAGTTATAATCAGAGTCTCTTGGAGGGAGAGCGAGGTTTTGTGTATAGATCTAATACGGGGATGACACCTCACACCTGAGCTGTTCGCTATAGTTAGACTACATCAGTCTAGGGTGACTATAACCTTATTCTATTTGTCAGTCGGCGTTCACCAACGCCAAGACAGGTGAAATTGTCATTATTTAGTATGGTTATAACGGCTCACTTAGAGGAATTAATGTTATGAAGTTTGCAAAAGACTATTTTCTTTTAGATTACTAGGTAACTTACTCACACTTGTACCCCACCTCGGTGTTGGTACGGCAACATTATCTATTTTCTTTTATGATTGGATTACTCGGTAACTTACTCACACTGGTACCCCACCTCGGTGTTGGTACGTCAGCATCAACTATTCTTCTTTTACGGGCAACATCGGGTTGTCCGGGGACATTCTATATACATTCTCTTCAATCACTTTTGACATTCTATTAAACAATAACACACATGCATTAATACAAGATCAGA